AGTAACTCTACTATTTGGTCTCTTGCTTAATTTAAGCAAACAGTTTAAAGAAAAACAGTCTCAGCCTTAGATAATAGATAACCAGTAAAAATAGCATAAAACATCTATAATCTTTTGCAAGTAACGACTTATGTGAGCGGCGGAGCAAATAAATGTAGGCTGAGTATTGTAATATTAACCATACATGTTTCATAGAAGTCCCTAATTAGTTAACCTACAATTCCGTTAAAAAAACACTGTAAAATAGTACAGCTGGACAGGTCAGGGAATTACTGTGCTATCTATGTATGTATCTAACACATACATAGTCTTACATAGTAAGGAATAGCACAAAAGAATGAGAGATATTTGTAAGAGCCTAGAGAAAATATTAAGAATATGTAGCATGCATAAACACGGGGAGGCCAAGTTACTGAAAGAATTGAGAATCTTCACTTGAAAAATTAAGTGCATATTGACCATAATTATTCAACCCTGTGATTAGCAAATTCCTGGTAATGTATTTAATCTCCACATGCATGGATATTCATAGTGAGCACAGTTACAATATGTTAGGTGAGGAATTTCTGCTCCTTTGTTATATCAGAATCACTGTGTTAAGAAAAGAGAATTACTTACCATTATTATGAAATATCGATGTGCAATCACACATTTTTTTTCACAGTCAGCTCCATTTTATACCTGCTTCAAAACACACAGGAACAATTACCTTGGAGAACTAAAAAATCCCCATTACAATTATATTTTTTTAGATCTCTCCAGATACTATAGAATTCTATGGAGAATACCCTTTAAAGTTTAACACATTATCTGAATTTGCCCAACTTGGAGATAATAAAACATTAAAGGAAGCAAACATAACTATATGGCATGGCATGTTATAACAGTCAGAAACATTGGGGCTGATTTATTACAGGAAAAGAGATTGTTGTTTGTAAAGTGAATGTTCACTGTCCCTGTGATAAAATGTTTAGGAAAAATATAAATGTATGTTTAGTGACTTCATATATTGAGGCATTATAGTGATATTTTTGTGCCTTGACTTTCACAATGTTTAAAGGTCAACTCTGCCATATGTCTGTTATTGCATTAAATATAGAGATTTGTAGATTTGCCACTAGATCAGGGGTGGGCAACTCCTGCCTCTGGGAGTCATGCCTGTAACTGTCAGTCTAGGAATGGCTCATGGGACTTGTAGTTCTACAACAGCTGGAGAACCAGAGTTGCCCATCCCACTACTAGAATATGCTTTAAGAAGCTTAGGGGTCTATTCACAAAGCTGCCGAGGGCAGCCGAGTGAATGACCGATCAGAAGTGAAGTGAGCCGAACACTGTTCAGCTATTCACTTCAGGCTGGTACGGCTAATTTCAGCCATATATCGGCTGAAATCAGCCGTACATCGGCTTGCTTCGTGTGGCTTCGGATCAGCCGAACATGCTCAGCATGTATGAGCTGCTCGGCCGTGATCGGGAGCTGTACGGGCTATTGTGAATAGCCCATACAGCACCCCCTCGGTTCTCCTGAACCGAAGGGGTCCTGGGGCCGAAGCCAGCCAAAGGATCGGCCGAAGCTACGGCCAGATCCTTCGGCAGCTTTGTGAATAGACCCCTTAGTGTCTTACTTAAAGTTGAACTCCAGCCACAAAAACTTGAATTATATATGTATATTCTTCAATAGTCACAAAGGACTTAAATCCACGTTGTGTGCACCAGATGCTTTTACACCTTTACAAACCCCAATATCACCATGTAAAGTGGTGACATCATCTCCATGCTGCACATAGCCTATTGTTACTATTAGTAAGGCTGTGGGAGGGACCCAACACATCCACTCATTGCAGGCTGTCTACAGAAAACTACAGGAGGGAGTGGATACAAGACCAGTTATCCTGCACAAGGAGAGAGAGCAGCACTGACTGGTCTTTATTACAGGAAGCTCCTGCACAAAGGGAAAGTGTACCTTCCCTTTATGTATATGTAGCACCCTAGTGGAAAGGGTGCTATTAAATTTAGTGTTTATCAGATTGTATGTGGTCTGATACTAATTTGTAGTTTTGGTTCATTTGGTTCCCCCCTAAACAATCTATCATTGCTTTCCATCTGTCTGCTGCCTGAGGTACTGCAGGGTGTGACCGGGTGAACAGAGCAGCCAATGGGATTGCTAGGAGTATATATCTCTCCCCAGCCAATCACTGTTGAATTATAGCCAGTAGTGCATTTTGGGGTGGGCCATGTGAGCTCTCTCTTCCTTCCCCAGGCCCTGCCTGCAGGGGAGGCTGCGCTAGACTGTCTGAGCTGACTAGGCCTCAAAGTCTGGGGACAAGCAATGGAATCACCCTGGAGCCTGGTGGCTGCAGGTCCAGTGGTTGCTACTGCTAAAGACAAGGATCAGTAACTTTTACCTCAAGTAATGCTGTGTCAGGTGCTCGACCTGCTGTGCATGGAAGCTGTAACCACACTCTCTGAAAGCCATGGAGTCTACATCTGCCTGGATGATCCTAACTCTCCTCTACCTCTCTCCCTGACATTTTGCAAATAAGTTTCAAGCAGCTGGGATAGCACCGACCGGGAACGCCCGTAATGTCTCTTTGCCTCCTCTCTTCTCAACTAGTGATGGGCCGAACACCTCCGTGTTCGGTTCGAATTTGAACTTTAGAACATAAAAGTTCGAATTCAAACTCAATGCAAGTCTATGGGGCTAGAACGTTGAAAATAAATTGTCCCCCTATTGAAGGCTTATATGCAAGTTATTGGCCATAACAAAGCTATGGGAATTCGGGTACTGCCCTGGGGAACATGTATCAATAAAAAAATACAGTTTTCAAAGGAGCAGTGATTTTAACATCACTTAAGTGAAACAATAAAAATGAAAAATTCCTTTAAATATCATGCCTGGGGGGTCCCCTTAAACTGCCTGTAAAGTGGCGCATCTGCACGATGTATAGAACCTGCTGCAGCAAAACTGACATTTCTAAAGAAAAAAATGACATTTTGAAAGAAAAGAAAAAAAGCGTGTGGCGCACCGCCCAAATAATACCAGACCCTTTAGGTCTGGTAGGAATGTTAGGAGGGACCCCATTTGAAAAAAACAAAGTGTGGGGTACCCCCCAAAAGTCATACCAGACCCTCAAGGTCTGGAAGGATTTTTAAGGAAGACCCTCACCCCCAAATATGGGGGGAAAAGGGGGTCGTCCTCCCTAAAATTCTATACCAGACCCTTGACCCGAGCACAGGCCTGGCATGGCAGGAAAGGGGGGGACGAGTCGCCCCTGAAAAAGCACCAGTGCTTGTCCAGTGCCAATGGGGAAAAGGGCCTCTTCCCCACAAGTCCTGGGGCGTTAGTTGTGGGGGTGCGGGCAGGGGGCTTATTCACATCAGGGTAACCCTTTAATAAAGGGACACCCAGATGCGCCCCCCCCTTGTGAATGAGTAAGGGGTACTTTTACCCCCACCCATTCACTAAAGGGTTAAATCTAATTTGTAAAAAATAGGCCACACTTTAATTGAAAAAAAAAAAGACATGTTTTTGACAAGTCTTTTATTTAAAACAAAAAAGTGGATACACCGACCTAATACAGTGTCAACCATGTTGTCCACGACAACTACTGGACGAAAAAAAAATAAAACAAGAAAAAATAAAGAAACATAATAATGTCCACTCGTGACGAACTCCGGCCACAGAATTGCATTTTGACAGATGACGGCAACATACATCAATTGGGCAGAGCTAGTGTTTACACAGCTAGCTCCTCGCAACTGTTCACAGTTTTAGGGCATCTGACAGGTGAGCCATGATTGGGCAAAGTCCTCATGACTTTGTCCAATCATGGCTCTTACAGAGTACTGGGCCCTGATTGGGCAAAATATTGCACCTGACCTGTGTGGTGCACAGTGCCTTGTGGGGCGCTCAGCGGGCGAATAGTCCGCCAAAGGCCCTGACAGTTTGTGTGTTCACCAAAACACACAAACTGCCAATGTATGAGTTGAACTCTTGCTCAACTCAAACATCGAGCCCATCCCTATGCTCAACTCTTTAAAACAGTCTTTCCCTTATAGGTGGGTTTCTACTGCACTTTTATACTTAGGTATTGATCTCAATCCATCTTTTGACACGTATCATGTGAATTATCCTGAATTATTTGCTCAGTTGGCCTCCTTGCTGGAATCTTGGAACCACCATCCTATTTTCCCTGACAGCTCCATGGCAGCACACAAATGGGATGGCCCCGCCTCCCTACCAATCTGATAGGACTTTAACTCATAAATGTGAGCAACCCGCAACCACTAGTGTTGCTCTTTTTTCCTCCTCCTACTACTGATGGAGGCGGGTTGTTGCTTACCTGGCTATGGTAACTGTCCTCTGGCCGTCCGCCCAGGGAACGGGTGTGGTCCCCTTGTTTGGTCTAAATGACCATGATGGGGGAGCCTCGCTGCTGGGATCTGAGGCTGTCTCTTTCATCCAGTAAATCTGGGTTACTGGAGGTGGTTGGCGTGTCCCCTTGTGCCGACGGGGTTGTATGTTCAGCAGGCGTGCACTCTACGGGCAGCTTCCGGGGTTGTGACTCCTCCCACAGCTGGGATCGCTCTGCCTGGAACGCAGCAGTTGCATTCCACGTGGTTCCCTGAAGGCCACTGAACCCACGCGCATGCGTGTGGTGACGCCGACCGGGGGGAGGAGCTAAATACGGCGTCCTACTTAGGGTTATGTGTACCGGCGGCGGTGGCCGCTCGGTATCCTGCTGCTGAGACTCCTGCTGCTGCTCTGTGCTGCCTAATGGTCTGCTGCCCTGTTCAAAGGTAGAGTATAGCCTGCTTTATATGCAGTTGGGACTGATTGGACTTTTACTGAATGTCTACATGTATTCTGTATAGAATGCCTTCAGATCTGCCAACCCCTCCTAAAGAAGGTAAGCGACTTCCTGCAATTGTGTATTGCTTCCTGGTACCGTTGCTTCTGGCAACCATGGGATTTTTTTTCTCTCAGCCCATCTAGATCGGCAATGTATACTCCAGATCCCGGCCTAGCAATCGCCATTCCTCTTCCTCTTCAAGACATCGTTCTCCCTCTATGGACAGAGGTGCTTGAAAATGCCAAGTATCGGCACTGGTACTCGAAAAGTATCTGTGCATCCCTACTGTTAAGTATTAGTGTAATAACTGCCAGGTGTAGTGTAATAACTGCCAGGTGCAGTTTAATAACTGCTGGGCATTAGTGTAATAACTGCCCGGCATTAAGTGCAATAACTGCCCGGCATTTAGTGTATTAAGTGTTGGGCTTTCAGAATTGGAGGAAGTTTTGAGTACATCTGGGCCTAAATAAATACATAAACTCAATGTTTGCATTTCTTTTTTTAGTTTCAAAAGATAATGTTTGCATTTCTTGAACATGTATGTGAATACTGTTACGCCAGATGTGAGCTAGTTGTTTGTTTGGAAGCCCAGATCCTGGATCTAAACAATAAACTGTCAACACTGCAGAGCATAAACAACATGGAAAGGAGTCTGGATCTGACACATCAGGTTCTGGTGGAGAGTGGTATAGAGGAGAAGGGGAGAGTGGAGGAGCAGGATCTTGAGGTGCGTAGCTGGGTTACTGTTAGAAGGCAGGGTAGAGGGAAAAGGCTAGCCCTGAACTTATGCACCCCAATAAATATGCCAGGTTTCAGAATGTTAGGGATGTTAGTTCAGGGGTGGCATTGCTGGAGCAGTACACTTACCCTATCCACAGGGGGGGGGGGGGGGCACTTG